CCCCCCCCCCCCCCTGGTTGGTCCAGGGGGGGGGGGGGGTTACCATATATATATATATATATATATATGTATATACATATGTGTTTATGTATGTATGTATGTGCATGTACCCGTCAGACGTGCAGGTGCACTGGCCACTTGGTGACCCAGACCTCTGGCGACTATCAGTTCTTTCTAAGCTCTGACGATGGCACCCGGTCTGAAGCTGCGGTATAGTGCAATAAGCCCATGCTCTCACACAGTCTGTCAGTGCACAGAATGTAGAATTGATTTGAAAGGATCCCTCTTGTACCTGGACGGGGAGAAGGTCGTGGACAACAATGGCTGCCACGGCGAAATCGAAAAGTCCAGCGAGAAGAAGCTCGTTCCTGCCGGTTCCCACAAGCTGGTGGTGGATATGTGCGAGGTGGACGGTGGCGAGGTGTTCAAGATGCAGTACCAAGGGCCGGACACCGGCAACTCCAAGATTGCGGTTCCCCAGTCTGCCCTCCAACATGACATCAAGGCCCTCGTCGTTTTGCGCAGATGGAGTGTTTTGGTAAAGCCTAGTTACTAATTCCCGAAAGCATCGCGCAGGGTTCTTCCGTGCGAAGCCCTTCAGACAAGTACATAGTATCAAGTACACAGATTACTAATTATGCAAGCAGAGTCAAATGCACAGAGTACACAGTCAAGTGCACAGAGCATAGTACACAGAGTGAAGTACATCAGAGTGAAGTACATCGAGTGAAGTGCATCGAGTCAAGTGTATAGTACGCAGAGTGAAGTACATCAGAGTAAAGAACATCGAGTGAAGTGCATTGAGTCAAGTGCATGGTACATAGAGTGAAGTACATCGAGCCAAGTACAAAGTACACAGAGTCAAGTACATCGAGCCAAGTACACAGAGTGAAGTACATAGAGTCGAGTACCCGACTTATCTACGTCTAAACCGACTTATCTACATCTCGGTATATCTATCTTTCTTTTTAAAGCCGGGGCGGCGCCCTGGGCGGCGCCAATGCCATCGATCAGGAATGCAACCCTTTGCGTGGATTCGCGTGGTCGAGCGCACGAACGCGAGGCAAACTTGCTACTTTTAGGGTTCCCGCGCAACCCTTTGCGGGGATTGGCGTGGTCGAGCGCACGAACGCGAGGTAAAGTTCCTACTTTGGGGAACTTGTAGGCGTGACGCGCAACCCTTGCCAGGAATTGGCGTGGTCGAGCGAGCGAAGGAACACGAGGTAAACTTACTACTTTTATTCCCGCGCAACCGTTTGCGGGGATTGGCGTGGTCGAGCGTGCACGAACGCGAGGTTAAGTTGCTACTGTTTGCAACTTTTAGGAGACACGCGCAACCCTTTGCGTGGATTGGCGTGGTCGAGCGCACGAACGCGAGGTAAAGTTGCTACTTTTACGGTTCCCGCGCAACCGTGGATTGGCGTGGTCGAGCGAAGGAACACGAGGTAAACTTACTACTTTTAGGGTTCCCGCGCAACCCTTTGCGGGGATTGGCGTGGTCGAGCGCACGAACGCGAGGTTTTGCAACTTTTAGGAGACACGCGCAACCCTTTGCGTGGATTGGCGTGGTCGAGCGCACGAATGCGAGGTCAAGTTGTTACTTTTATGGGCGTCCCGCGGACTACGGTTGTACTTGCAATACAGGACTTATCACAAAGTGAGTATGCATTTGCCAAGTGCATAGTACATAGAGTGAAGTACATCCAATTAAGTGCATTTACCAAAGTACACAGAGTGAAGTACATCGAAATAAGTGCACAAAGAGACTCTATATGCACTAGACCTAGACTATATGACTCTATGTACTTCACTTTATGCACTGGACTATGTACCTGATGATGCTATGCACTTGACTCTATGACTCTATGCACTGGATTTTATGTACTCGAACTGTGCACTTGACTCTATGACTTTATGTACTTGACTCTATGGCTTTACATAGCGCAAAACTCTTGGCAAATGATGCTTTCGGGCCATCGTCTGCTAGTTAGCATTAAATAGCAATATCTTTGCGTGCCGTGCTATGAAGCCATGCGGTGGCCGGAGCAAAGCACTCGGAGAGTCCGGTGTTATGACACGGTCACGCACAACACCCGAGCTGCACCCCACAGGCTTGTTTGTTGTCATGCTGACTTTGTTCTGGCAGCACTTGTCGGACGGCTTGGTGTGCGACTACTTCTACCACCAGTCGCAGTGCCATGTTCCAAACCTAGCGGCGTTGACTCCTGGCAGAAATGGTGCAGATCTTGCCAGTGCACGAAAACCTTTAGCTTGTGCCCTGCTGACGCGACCCGCTAGTTATAGTGATCGAAAGGACACCCGCCCACACGGCGATTGTGCCACGGATCTTCATGGACTGGCCGCAGTTTAAGATCGTCCCCGGCCCTTGTGGGGAACGACATGCCTGCAACAGCTGCATTTGATTCGGCCTGCAGGAGGGCGGCAAGTCTTCCTCCCTAGGCGTGCGACAATCGGACCACTTTTGCATGAGGCATTTGGCGCCGGCTTGGTTAGTTCTGCTACGTGACATCGCAAAATCTGCAGACAATAGTGTATAGTCCGTGATTAAGCGTCGGGCGCGCAGGTGCTCTGGTAACCTCGTCACCAAGATCTCTGGCGACTATCAGTTCTTCCTGAGCTCAGACGATGGCACCCGGTCTGAAGCTGCGGTCCGCGGTATAGTGCAGTTAGCCCATTCTCACACAGTCTTTCAGTGCACAGAATGCAGAATTGATTTGAAAGGATCCCTCTTGTACCTGGATGGGGAGAAGGTCGTGGACAACGATGGCTGCCACGGCGAAATCGAAAAGTCCAGCGAGAAGAAGTTCGTCCCTGCCGGTGTCCACCGACTGGTGGTGGAAATGTGCGAGGTGGGCGGCGGCGAGGTGTTCAAGATGCGGTACCAAGGGCCGGACACCGGCAACTCCAAGATGACGGTGCCCCAGTGGGCCCTCAAGCACTCGAAGGCTTGTTCCAGTGTCGCATACCTTGACGGAATCGCGTTGCTTCACTCGACCATGCATGGGGTTGTCTTCTGCCGAAATGATCCCATCCATAAGCTTTGCTCATCCGTTTGGAACCTGTTCGGACACCCGATCCTCTCCCTTCAGGCAATGCTCCCACAGCCTGCCGCCGAGTCTTCTATGGTGGCGTGGTTCAAGAGCGAAGATGCCAATCCAGACTGGCGCAGTGTGGTTGGCGGATGGCAGGGTCGTGTCACCAAAGGAAGCATCACCAGAAAGGTCGAAGCTGGACATGGGGCCAGCACCCCGGTGGCTTACCTTGCCGGCAACACCGCCACAGGATATGATTTCGGCAGGATCATGAAGCCAGACTTCACCATTTGCTCAGTGACCCGCTATGCAGGAGGCCACAGAAATCGTATTCTCCAGAACGTTCACCCGAATTGGCTGCACGGCCATTGGGGTGGGCGCGTCGGGGTTGCTCACTACAACACGTGGCAAGTCCACGAAAGCTCCGGCTCGTTGACCGATTGGCTCGTCATGTGCGGAAACTCTGAGGGAGTTGTCTTCAGGGGGCGTGACAGCAGAAACGTCGGACAACACCCTTCCCGAAAGGTGGATTACGATTTCCACCTCTACATTAACGAGGGCTACGGCGGGGAAGTCTCTGACTTCGGCGTCATGGAGGTCATCGTTTGGAACCGGGCACTCTCGGAAGGCGAGATGTGGAGCAGCATGGAGTATCTGAACTGGAAACTCGAGGCGGGATGATTTTTCTTTTTGGAGCTACTGTAGCAGGGGCTCAGTTTTTATGTTCGTGATCATTGAGTTGCAGGCATGTAGGGTGTTCCATTACTTGACGCACTTTTCAGCACGCGGATTTCGCAAAGACTGAAACTACCCTGAGCATTGGCATGCTCGACGGCCCGTTTTTGTCATCGAGTCGATTGTCCTTTGTTCAGCACCTTTTTATACTACGTTTCCCCGTCAAACATCACTCAAAGTCGCTGCCCGGCTTGGCGCTCCAAGGCTCCAACGGAGGGAAGGAACTCACCACAACATCGTCCAAAAATCAAAAAGCTTCCGCATGTTCGCATGCATTTACTAGCAGCTAGCATCTGCGAGACTGCAGGCCTGCAGTGGAATGCATCGAATAGGTACAGAGTTTGAGTGCTTCAGATGACAGCGTTGTGTGTGCTGCAGCACGAGCCTGCGAATGAAAATATGAGACCTTAATGCATCTGTGTTGTTCCACACCGCTCCATCCCGAAACATGTGCTTTCTATCTAAATCAATCACGGTCCACAGACACTGTGCTGTGTCACGTGCCTGCGAATCAACATAGACTTCAGCTGAGCGTGGGTTCTTCCACCCCGCTTCATCCCAAAATGGCTGAACGGCCCACAACCACACCGGAGGCAATGCATCCGCATCCTGCCGCCGAGTCTTCCATGGTGGCTTGGTTCAGAAGCGAAGATGCTAATCCAGACTGGCGCAGTGTGGTTGGCGGCTGGCAGGGTCGCGTCACCAAAGGAAGCATCACCAGAAAGGTCGAAGCTGGACATGGGGCCGGAACCCCAGTGACGTACCTTGCCGGCAACACCGCCGCAGGATATGATTTCGGCAAGATCATGAAGCCAGACTTCACCATTTGCTCAGTGACCCGCTATACAGGAGGCCACAGAAAGCGCATTCTGCAGACCAATCCCCCGAACTGGCTGCACGGTCATTGGCATGGGCGCGTCGGCGTTGCTCACTACAACGCGTGGCAAGTCAGCGAAAGCTCCGGCTCGTTGACAGACTGGCTTGTCATGTGCGGAAACTCCCAGGGAGTTGTCTTCAGGGGGCGCGAGAGGAGAAACGTCGGACAACACCCTGCCCGAAAGGTGGATTACGACTTCCACGTCTACATTAACGAGGGCACCGCGGAATACTCAGACTTCGCTGTCATGGAGGTCATCGTTTGGAACCGGGCACTCTCGGAAGGCGAGATGTGGGGCAGCATGGAGTACTTGAACTGGAAACTCCAGGTGGGAAGGACAGGTAGAATTTCAGTGCTAGCACACGCAGCCTCAACCATATCCAGTGTTGACTCAAGCCGTTGTAGGAGGCCTCTTGATCATCAGCACTGCACAACCTGCCAGACTGTTGAACTCAGGCACACCTTGTGCTCCCACATCCTGCCTTCGAGTCTTCCATTGTGGCTTGGTTCAAGAGCGAAGATGCCAATCCAGACTGGCGCAGTGTGGTTGGCGGATGGCAGGGTCGTGTCACCAAAGGAAGCATCACCAGAAAGGTCGAAGCTGGACATGGGGCCAGCACCCCGGTGGCTTACCTTGCCGGCAACACCGCCACAGGATATGATTTCGGCAGGATCATGAAGCCAGACTTCACCATTTGCTCAGTGACCCGCTATGCAGGAGGCCACAGAAATCGTGTTCTCCAGAACGTTCACCCGAACTGGCTGCACGGCCATTGGGGTGGCCGCGTCGGGGTTGCTCACTACAACACGTGGCAAGTCCACGAAAGCTCCGGCTCGTTGACCGACTGGCTCGTCATGTGCGGAAACTCCCAGGGAGTTGTCTTCAGGGGGCGCGAGAGGAGAAACGTCGGACAACACCCTGCCCGAAAGGTGGATTACGACTTCCACCTCTACATTAACGAGGGCTACGGCGGGGAAGTCTCTGACTTCGGCGTCATGGAGGTCATCGTTTGGAACCGGGCACTCACTGAAGATGAGATGTGGGACAGCATGGAGTACTTGAACCAGAAACTTGACGGCTCTCAGCGATAGGCCGATCAATTAGGACTCCAGAAACGTGTAGTACTCGAGTTCCTCATGCCAAGCGGCAGACGAAGTGTTTGAGACGAGTGTGGTCAGTACATGTACGCTCGTCTTGCGCTGGTGCTGCCGCGATCAGCTTTTCTCTGTTCTGGCAAAAGAACTGCAGCTGCTCACCATGCTGTTGCCACTACGGGCACTTGTAATTGCTACAGCGATGACTGCGATCATCAGTGTGACTAGTGCTGTTGCTACTGCTGCCGCCGCTGCTGCTGCTGCTGCTGATGATGATGATGATGATGATGATGATGTGGCTGCTGCTGCTACTGTGAACTACTGCTGCTATGTGCCGCCACGACGACGACTACGTACCATTGCTGCTACTGCGGCTGCAACAACAGCAACAACGACAGCAACATCAAACGCACCAAAACCAGCAACAACAACAATAACAACAACAACAACAACAACAACAACAACAACAACAACAACAACAATAACGTCAACAATAACGTCAACAACAACGTCAACAACAACGTCAACAACAACGTCAACAACAACGTCAACAACAACGTCAACAACAACGTCAACAACAACAACAACAACAACAACAACAACAACAAAAACAGCAAAAACAGCAACGACAACCACAACCACAACCACAACCAAAACAACGACGACGACGACCACTGCTATGGCCATTACTCCTGCTGCTGCTGTTACTACGACTGCTACGACGACGACGAATACCACTGCTGCAGTGTACAGCTGCTGTACTACGTAACGGTCATGTTCCTGACGCAATATTTTCACTTGACGGTGCCGAAACAGTGGCGAAAACCATGGTTTCGGCCAGTGTCACGACTTCACGTTTTATTGTGCGTCGAGATTGGCAACAGTGCAAGCACCCATGCCCACAAAACAATACAGGCAATGCAGTCCATTCCCCCGCGCGTCGGATTTTCAGAGCACCCATGCCCAAAGAAGCATATAATGCTAATACCGTCCATGCCCCTGCGCATCAGATTTCCAGAGCACGCATGCCCAAAGCATTAGCAACTCTAATAGTAAGAGTGAGACTGACGGCAAGTGTAGCACTAACGAATGGGAAAAGTATTGGATCAGCTGGACCGGGCACATACTTCCGCTTCACCATTACAAGTGTGAAGTCGCCTTGCGTAATATGTATGAAGTTACATATGTCTTGATCCGGAGCGTGTAGGACATGTATTTTGCCGTGAATAGCAAGGTTCCATTTAATGTGTGTATCAAAGGTCCTTATTCTTTCCCACCGCTGTCTTGAGTTATTTGTTCATGTAACTGATTATGTATGACGCCTGACTCGTGTGAGTGTGTGTGTGTGTGCGAGCATGCCCGCCATCAACATAGAGGCCCCGGCTCCGGCAATAAAACTGTCGCTCTACAAAATTTTACAGTACAGCAAGCCATACATTTGGCGACACCGGCGCGAAACGCTATAGAGCCTTGACGAGCTCGATCCTGCTGCCAGGCGTGCGCCGCCTCATCGAATCCAAGATCATGTCACCGGCAGGCCGGCACCGGCCCAGTTTTTGTCAGACCACCGAGGCTTGCAGTGGAGCAGATGCGAAGTCTTGAGTGCTGCCATGTTCTGTGATGTTTGAGTGGGGAAGGACGAACCGCAGCTCGTTTTATCTGGCAAATCTACCGAAATGGTAGGTTCGTCAGGTTTGTTTCCGTAGAAAGCACTCTTAACGTAGCAATCGAGCCTCGCGCTGAAACAGCCCGAGCTCATCCGAAGTTAAAGCGATGTCGGCCGCGATGCTTCAGCCGCGGCCACGGAGCTTGCGCTTCGTGATCTTCCTGACTGCTTGGAGTGGGTGTCTGACGGCCACTCTGGCATTCAAGACTGCCGAC